AATTAGAGTAGAATATCTCGAGTATCTCCTGAGAACTTGTCAAAGGATACTGTAATTGAACATTATAGGTATGTTTTGTGATTGAGCTATGTTTAAGAAAGGCATTTATAAATTGTTGTAGAAAGAAGTATCTTCTTTTGACGGATAGCCTCTTGCTCTTCATAGACCTTTGGTGGCAGCATGTTCTAGAGTATCTAACTACTGAAGGGTTAGGGAACAGCTTTCCCACCCACAACTTCAGGCTTCTCCTTCCTAGTCACGTCAGTGGTGCATTATGTTTTCCTTAACAAAGGAAAAACACCTTCATTGGTTATCTGTTTCAGTGAAGTTTTTTGACTGACATATTTTGCTAAATTCCTTTTTAAGAAAGCCATTTAATTTCTATGAGGTAACATGGAGCAATGTGGAAAATTGTCCTACTGCCTGCATCTTAGGTTAGATCTTTTCTGCATACACACGTGACTTCTTTTATGACTTGGTGTAGACTCTGAGTCTTTGTTGATATTTGGACTTTTAAGATGTGCTTCATATTTCCTTAAGAGGTATTGAGAACTTAAAAGCATTTAGGCAGGGGAATGGGTAAGATCCACCTTTATTTAAGACTTTGAGAATCCATCTTAATAATAGTCTCTTCCCAAGAGGGAGAAATGAAAGACAAGGCTTTTATCAACCTAGTCTCCTCAAATTCTTAGGAACTATAAGATTCCCAAGGCCAAAAACAGTGTGAAGTAACTCCGTGTACCTATCTTGGAGGCCACTACATCAGAAATTCAGCGAATGGAAATTGTTCTTTGGCTGAATGTCTAATTTTGAGTGCCACTGTTTGTATTCTTTATATCTTGCCTTTCTTTATATGTTGAATTTGTTTCACTTTGTAAAGATGAAGAAGAATACATTCTAACTTTTAAATGTGAGAATTGAATTATAAATATTTTTAATTAAAAAATGATCTCCCTTTTTTTCTCCCCAGGGTAGTTAGTATATCTCACAAACTTTGGACCTCACTGATACAAAGTGTCATTAAAAGTTTTTCACTAATTCAGCATGTAAAGCTTTTTATTTTGCTTTGATTTATTACACAAAGCTGGATGTTTTTTTTTGAGTGGAGAAAATGCAAAAATTACGTTCAATTTAATTAGATTGCATTTTTGTGCCCCCCTCATGTTTTAGTGGAAGCTACTAATCGAATGTTGATTTATTTCTTATTTTTCAGACTTAATTTATCACATCGAAATTTCTGTAGTTGTTGCATTGCCCCACTATATTGTATCATAATAATCTATTCATGCCTTTTTGTTCCACACTATGTGATGGATTTATTAAGAGTAGGATTGTGTCATTCTACATCAAAACTCGTGCACCTCCAGTCTTCCTGTGATGTTGGCTGTAGCCACTTTAAGCTTCAAAGCCTTATTTATGAACAGTGAAGCTCTGTCATCTCAGTAGTCATGCTAATTCACTCTGGTTCAACTGTATATACTGTGCAGTAATGTAACTTGACTTTTGTTAAAATTGATTCATACTGTTTTAAAGAAATACAGTGTTAGGTGATTGAAGCAAGAATGAGATACTTTGCTCTTTAGGTGATACTCTTGACCTTGCTTATACATCACTCATACTCTTTTTGTTTTTTTTAAGTAACTAGCTTTCCCTCTCTTCTTCCTCCTCTCTATTTTTACTCCTTTTTTCTTCCTTTCCTCTAATTCAGGTAGAAATGTAATATTAACATCTCTAACAATTTACCAAGTATTTAAATCTAGAAGCTATTTTTGATTACCTAGTATATCAAAATATTTTTATTTCATAATTATTTCTTATAAACAAAATCTCACACAACAAATTTTAAAAAAGGGCTAGCTTGTGGTGGTTAATGGGAAATATGAGTTAGTAATTAGTCACAATAAAGAGCTCTTATACTGGAAATGAAAGAGTATTGCACAATTCCTTGTAAAATTAATTAAATTTATAATTATAAAATTATTGAGTCTTTGTAGACAAAATTTTATTCTTTTCATTGTTTTGGGGTAGGGAGCTTTAGTGATGGAAACATTCTTAATTAGTAAGCATTAAATCTTTATTAAGCAGTCATTATTACTGGTTTTATGATGAGAGTTAATCAAGGGAGAATTAGCCACGTGTGGAAAAGTTTTATAATAGGAAAAAGCATTTCAGTTACATAGAAGATGCACAGTTGTTGTCCTTCTTTCCACTGGTTTGAGATGACAGTATTCTTGGAATTTACCTTCAAAATGAGAGGTTATTTTTTTTTAAATGGGTACCTAAGGGTGCAGAGAAGCGTGGGGAATTAAAGAAAGCACATAATGTATAACAGAATATAGTAAACAAATAAACAAAAAGAAACCCACAGTTACATAAAATAGAAAACCTATTTGTCTGATAATAAATTTAAATGACATTAGGTAGTAGAATTATCCATCAGGTTTTTTTTTCATATCCTGGTGTTGATTGCAAGCTATAAATCAGTCTTTGAAATAATGGACTTCCAAAATGACCATTTACATGTGTATGGTATGTGTGTGTGTTTAAAAATTAGATATAAAAGAAATGTAGTCTGATATATGTGAAAAATAAGGTAACAAACTTTGCATTCACATATTGTATGTTTTTTTAAAGATATATTTTTTAAAGATTTTATTTATTTATTTTTAGAGGGGAAGGGAGGGAGAAAGAGAGAGAGAGAGAAACATCAATGTGCAGTTGCTGGGGGCTTTGGCCTGCAACCCAGACATGTGCCCTGACTGGGAGTCAAACCTGTGACCCTTTGATTCACAGGCCAGCACTCAATCCACAGAGCCACACCAGCCAGGGCACAATGTTCACTTTCATTGCCTTCATATGCAAAAAGTAAAACGTGATGAATAAATCACTTGCAAGAATAAGGAAATTGAACTATACACATATTTTATAATTAAACAATGATTAGATATATAGGTACTAGTGATTACTAGAGTTTCTGGATTGTATAAAGACACAATGTTACTATTTTTGTTTGTTTGTTTTAAAGTTTAGTGTCTACGTAGCCAGTAGATCAAATATCCAAAATGGGTAATTATTGGTATTGTGCTTCAGAGTTTAGATCTTAACAAATAAAAATGGAAAACATTTGGATATGATTAAAGAACAAAGACACAGGGGGACAGAAATCAATCAATTCAGAAAATATGGAACAGTTGGTTCACCCTAATTATAGCCATCTTTATTTTTCTTTTTTTCTTCAATATGTATCAATTAGAAGTTCAGTAGAAAATTAACCCTTGGCCTAATTATAAAAATAAATTTGGTGCAGATTTTCTAAAGTGACTTTATTCTTTTCCTTAAACTCACATTTCAAAAGTCAGTTACAATTTATGTTGGTCACAATTCTTTTCTTTAATACAGTTCAGCGGTTTACTTTTCACTTCCTAAGACTTGAATTTCTTATATCTCCTATCATCTAAATGAGGATGTGTTGACATAAATGAGAAGATGAATGATTCAACTAATTAGAGAAGTTTTATATTTAAGTAGTCTGAGTTGGATGGAAGTGTGGCTGAATCTAAGCAAATGACGGAACATATGCGTAATGATAATGATTTTGCAGATTGTTTATTGCTGCCAGTTAAGCACAAAAACAAGGCCTGAGTTCTGACCCTTCTTTTTCATAAATCTCATAGATATAAAGATTACGGAAATTGAGATGTATTTGGTTTTCTAATAGAGATGAATTTATTGAGATGCAGTTTACTTTGTCCTTGATTGCTGCTTTTCAGTCTTTTTCCACTTGTTATAACTAGTATATTCATTTATTCTCTATTCATACTATATAAGAAGTTATATGGGCTTTTTTGGTACATGTTTTAGAAAGAATAAAATCCATTGACTTTATTGACAGATGTATATTATATGATCTGTTCGGTACCTAACATGGGTTTGGTTTTTTTTGGCCTGTTATTTGATAATCATTAAACATAGGTACAAGAGTAACAATGAGGAAAAAGAACCAAAACTGTCAATGTCAGAGTCATGTTGAAACATTGTAGGGTTTTACATACAGTCCAAATTTGATGGCTTTCTCTATTAATTTTCCTCTATATTTACATTCAGTCCTAAAGTAATGATTACAAACCCCACCCCTACCCCTCAGATGCCTCAACTTGCATTTCCCTTAATTCCAAACCATTTTTTTCACACTGTCAAAACATTTTATTTCTCAAACAGATTTGATCATGTCCTTAGTCTAATTCATTTTGGCTCCCTCTTCATTCCTTACAGCAGGAGCTCTCAACAATGGGAGTACATTAGAATTGCTCAAGAAGCTTCTAAAATATACACGTACCTGAAACCCATCGGCAGCAGCTCTGATTTTTTCATACGAGTAGAAAGTGTATTTGCAATTTTTTTTCATTATTTTAGATGCCCTATATGTCATGTTCCAACCAAACAAACTTTCTTATCCCATCTCATGCCATTTCTTCCAGCCATCTTCAGTTCTTCTCTAGCCATGCTGAATTTAGGTATTCTACAAATAGTTTTATTCCATACCTCTATGCTTTTGTACATGTTGTCCCTAATCTCCAAAGTATCTTCTTTTCTTTCTGCTCTCTCCTTCTAATCTAAGTCTCAGATCTGTCAAACAATTTCTTATCTTCCTGGATTCTCCTCTAATGACAAATCCTTCCTTACGTGTTGAAATAGCTACTCTATATTTTGTATTTAGCATTTATATTTGATTAGTTTTTAACTGTCTTATCCCTCCCATTAAATTCATGTAATTAATCTTGTTCCTGTTTATATTAAATTGGATTAATGATAAGTGAAAGGCTTGTTAGGAATTTAAATATACAACTTTTTATGAACATTATTTTTAGGGTCATAATGAGGCATTCATAATGAATCACCAATACCTAGGCTAATACTGTACATAATTTTATTTTTATAATATATGGTACCTTTAAAACATATTTATTTATTTTTCTTCTCTTTACTCCCTGTGTCCACAGGCGAAATCTCACAAAACTGTCCCTTATCTTCAGTCACATGCTGGCAGAAATCAAAGCAATCTTTCCCAACGGGCAATTTCAGGGAGATAACTTTCGTATTACAAAAGCAGATGCTGCTGAATTCTGGAGGAAGTTTTTTGGAGACAAGTAAGTAAAAAATCATTTTATAGTTTGGATCCATGTTTGCAGAATTACCTAGTCCTGTTTCCACTTCCATATGGTAGATTTTACTTAGGAGTTTGGAAATTTACTTGAGTATTTTTGATAAGTGCTTTGATTGCTAATTTTTTCTGGTTAGCTACCAAAAGTATACCTTCATAACCGAATAGTTTTATGTGATTACAGAGTAAATATCAGTTATACAGCATTTATTTATTTAATGATTATTCATTGAGTTAATTCATTCTAAGAAGCAGGATTATGTAAGATAGAGTTTCTATTACATGAGATGCTTATAACTTTTTATAATGCGGTAAGCATATAAGATGTGTACAAAATAAGAGTCAAAAAGAGATAGATACTTTAAAGGTGGCATAAATAAGTTGCTCAGAGGGGAACAGTTGCTTCATGATTTCAGGTATCAGGGACTGCTTTCTGAAGGAGGTGGTGCATAAGATTGTTAAGGTCTGAAAGTAGAGTGGGAGGAGGCCTTAGAATCCCGATTCAGGCTTTGTTTGTATCATTACACAGCAAGCACTGTGTAAGCAAGATACAGAAATGAGGATAATATTAACACAAAGTTGCATTATATCACAAAACAGCTGGGTAAAGATTTTTTTTAGGTACTTTCTACCCAGACTCAAGTGAACTTGCAAAATAAAAGAAGGTGAATATTTGAAGCCAGCATAATTTAAAACTTATAAAACTTTAAAAAAATGGTGGGAATCCCTCAGTAAGATGATCAAGAACTGAGCATCAGGAGGCTCATGGTTTCTTCAGTAACATTTTAAGGGTCTCTTTGATGAGGGTGTACATCAGAATGTCCTTAAATGTAGGCAGAACTCCAGCTGAGTGTTGAGGAGGAAGAGAGATTGCTTACGCATGGATTATGGTTCCCATCCTGTAGTTTAAAGTCTGTCTGTCTCGCTCTTTAAATACATACATACATACATATATGTTGGTATACACTTTTGGTGGTCTTAATTCTCAGATGCTGATGAATTGACTGTAACTTTTTTTTCTTTCTTTAGGAAGTATTATGTTTAGTTAAGAGTTAACACCATGATTAGAATATGCTTACATAGCATTACACACATAATGTTTTGGATTTGAAAATGTTAAAGTCTTTTTCCTACTTAAATACAAGTATTTCTGCATTACTTTTAGGCACTAAAGGAGGAAATGCCATTATTGCCACTAATAAGGACATTCTGTATACCAGAAATTTAGCTATTTACAATGCTCTGGTAACTAATCAGAAATGAGAAATTTAAATTAAAAAGGTTCATCCTCATCTGAATTAGAATAACAGCCAAAAGTGTATTAATTAAAATTTTGTGAATAGTAAAAAGGAGAAAGTCATTGCTGAGTTCTGGGAGAAAAAGCTGAGGATTTCTTGAAGTTACAGCTCATGCATTAACACTGTGAACCTGATGCAAACAGTTAGTAACCTTTAAAATAAACTTTATCGTGAAATTTTAAGAAAATGTATAGGACAAATTGTTTGTGGTATTTCTTTTTGAAAACTGAAATCTTCAGTGAGTCATGAGATTGTTTGCTTTTCAAAAGGTCAATAAAAAATGGAGTGATTGCTCACACTTTTTTCAAGAGAGGAGTTTGTTTTGCTGGCACCTTAAGCTACAGAGAATTATGCACTTGAGACATTTTTACTTCCCTTTATTTATAGTCATAGACATCAAGGAGCTGAAATTTCTGTTCAACTGCTACATGAGTGAAATCACTACTAAATCAAACAGGATTCTTGAAATACCTATGACTCTCTCTGCCTCCCAAAGCCTCGTACTTATGTCTGCTGTCTTCACTTACTTAAAAAAGCTACTTAATTTTTCTTTAACATTTTTACTTTTGGGATGAGAGCCAAATTTAAAGCTCCTTCTGGAACTCAGACATATTTCTGTAGTCATCAAAATTAATGATTCTTTTAAGAGATCATTGGAGCAACCACCTTTATATTCTCTCTGAATTTTCAGCTTATTGTTCCTCAGTATTTCATTGAATGAGTGAACAAATGTATGAATGATAGAGTCTTTCAAAAGGTTGAACTCTTTTATTTTCTTTATGCTCTAATACTAGTTTGTATTTTCACATAACTTAGTTCTTATATGGGAGCATTCCTGTCATTTACCTAGCTACTCATTGAGGTCATGTGAGAGGTTTTTTTGTTTGTTTGTTTTTTTAAGATTATATTTATTTATTTTTAGACAAAGGGAAAGGGAGGGAGAAATAGAGGGAGAGAAACATCAATGTGTGGTTGCCTCTTGCACACCCCCTACTGGGGACCTGGCCTGCAAGGTATGTGCTCTGACTGGGAATCGAACCAGTGACCCTTTGGTTTGAGTGCCACACTGGCACTCAATCCCCTTAGCCACACCAACCAGGGAGAGTGCTTTTATTTTACCTAACCAATGCCTTTGAACATAAAGCAGTATTTTTTGCTATAAACAGGACCATTGAGAGGTTAGTTCTAAAATCAGCCAAACGGATTAAAACTTTTACACAGCAGCTTTTAGCTTAAGAAGTATTGTGGCTTTTCCCCCCCCACCCCAAAAGGAACTCTCAGTAAAAACAAAATATTAAGATTGAATTAAAATTGGGAAAAAGCTATTTTTAAAGGACATTGTAAAAAATTTAAAGGCAACTTTAGGATTCAGACCTTATAAACACAAGCAGAAGGCATAAAGTCTCTAGGTGTCATATGCCTAATTGCTTAATTTTTCTGCTTCTCAGTCCCTTGTGAAGTCACAGCAGGGCCACGGCTCTGAGCAGGGCCCAAGCTCAGCTGTGCAGGGAGGGCCTGCTTGGAGTCCCGAGGGGATGAGTAACACATCTGTGTCAGGCTCAGCTGGTTGGGAAGTTCTGTGTTTGTTAGATTTTTATGCAAATTCACTGTTTTAATAGTTGAGTCCTGCTTTTGCTTTCTTAGTCTGTTGACTAGGAGATAGTAAAAATATGTAAGAAAAGAGAAGTGACATTATTGAATAAATATGTCTAAGTAAATTCTGAAAATGAAACCAATACCAAACTGAATATTGGCACCATGGGTTATTAATTTGTAATCTAGAGACTATAAGCATGAGGCTCAAAAAAACATGTTACTTGCTGTTAAAGACACATTAATGTATCAGACTGTGGTTGATAGTCATTTTTCTAAGCAGGTCAGGTAGCAGTTACTGGACTACTTGTGCTTAAGTACTTCTTGACATTGAGGAGATTTAGATAATGCATTTCCAACCAAGTAATAATTCAGTAAAAACCTTGGATTCGAACCCCTGAATCCTCTTAGGTGTCCTCTTTTCCTCATCTTTGCTTCAAGTTCTTCACTTTCAGATTCAAATTCTTTCTTGAGTTTCTGATCTGTCTGCCTACCTTCAGTAACAACCTACTCAGTTGTTTTTCTTAGTGAGACCAGTGAACTCTCTAAAAAATAGAACTAAGCCTTCTAATTTTTTTTCTGAGGTGCTTCTATGAATTTTTATTGATTGTGGGTTGAAGTCTAAAGTCCCATCAACATGATAGGCTTTAGGAACTATTTTTTCCAGCTTCATCTTTTTGTACTCAGCTCATCCTCAAAGAAACAAAATGCTCTACTTATGTCCTGATGTGCTCCCCCTAACCCCCTCACCTGAATCCTCTGTGTGAGAAGCCCGTTTTCCATTCCCTACCTGGTGTTACCACTTTGGAAGCTTTCTTGACTACCCTAAGCTAAGACGGACACCCCTGCTCTCATCTGTCATACTAGATTGCAGGGAACTGCTGACATGTTCACATTTCCCAACAGACTAGGAGGGTTCCTTGAAGGCAGGGACCATGCCTTCCTGATTTTTATTTCTCAGAGCCAGGAACACTTCCTGGTATGAGTAGGCACTAATACATGGGAGCAGACTATATGAATAACTGAATGGGTTGAGTTCTGCTCAAAATTTTCAATGAGTTTATTATCTACAAATTTATTAATTTATTTTATTATCATTTGCTATTGTTCTGTTCCCTGGAATGTCTCTTTTCCTCTTCTTTCTTTTTTTATTATTCCACAATTTTGATATCCTTCTACAAATCTAGTTCAGAAATTCCCCTTTCTTGCTTGTTCTCAGTAACGTACACCCTCCTACACATTCAACTTTATTTACTCCATGCTTTGAATTCTTGTTGTGTTTCAAACACATTTAATATTATTGAATGTTTGTTTACTAGATAGATCTTTTCACTTGGCTATGAAGCTCATTTTTGATTTTTTTATCCAAAAATTAGTGAAACATATATTTATTAGAGTTATATATTGAACTCTGTGGTCATTGCTTTCATACAAGCTAACCCCATTTTCAACATAATGTTTAATCATTCCTTAAATGGTCATTAAATGGTCATTTTGTGGTCATTTATACACAGCAGTAATTGTTGGTTGAGTTCATGGCATATTCTGGCATTTAAGATCTGTCTTCCTTTACTTATTCCTGTTCTCCAGTGAAGTGGATTATTTGTCTCTTTCCTGTCTATGTCTTTGCTCATCTCACTCCTTCCACTTGAAGGTTTTTACAGTGTCTGGCATCAGAGTTATTACTAATCTTTAAAAATTATTTTTATTTAAATCATTTTTATTTTTCAGTCACTATTACTCATCTCTCAGTGTTCATCTCACTATAGATTCTCTACCTATTGTTATTACTAAATCTCTTCTTAAACTTCTCTAAGCTCTTGCTTAGCCCCTGACATTACTTATTTTCATTGTTTCATTAAGATTATTTGTCTAGTAACCTTATTTCCCATTAGACTACATGCACCATGAAATCAGGCTTATTTATTCATCTTTGCATTTCCTGAAGTAGCTCAACACAATGTCTCATATTTTGACTTTGGGGAAGTGTTATTCATTTTATTCAAATGAGGTGAGGTGTGGAGGAGTATGTGTGAGCATGTGCACGTGTGAGTTAAGAGAGAAACAGACCTTGTTTGCTTGATTGACTGGGCGG